CACCACCTCTATCACCACCTCTATTATCACCACCTCCTATTATTAAAAATATCATGACTCATTATTATGTCATATGTGCGTATAGCGTGAAGCTAATCTTTTCCACCCCTTTTAGTCTTAGTTAGGTATTATAGCGTATAATAGATATAAAACTACTTTTTATACTTAATTTAAACCACCTATAATAAAGTAAACCACCACTTCAAAACTATTTACGGGTATACACGAGGTCAGTTTACACCTATATAGTAAACCCCTAGCGTACCATTCTACAGTAAACAATTTTTTACCGTAGTGCACAATGAGTTCCGTTGAAACGAAACGAAGGACAAATTGGCTGTGCCCCGGACTGTGCCTCAGACCGTCATGCGGCTAGCTGGAATGAATGGGGCGCTTGGTTGGTGGGAGTTGGCCAACTCCGTGCTGTACTTGACACAGAGAGATGAAGGGTGGAGAGACATATCTTGCGGCGGTTCTAGTTGGGCACTACGACGATCACAACGTGGTCCATGATCATGAGGATCATGATACGGTGATGCTGATGAGAGATGACCAGAGCTTGGAAGCTAGAAGCTACGAAGCCTGAAAGCTTCGGACGGGAGTGTCCGCCTACTTCTGGACATCCATTTCCAGACAAGACAGACATCACGTGACGAGCTCCACACTAGTCGCATTCGGTCCGCATGGGCAGCCCTGTGGAGTTGTTTCTCTGTCGATCAGCCGAAATCGATCTGCGAAGATCCACGCGTCAGCATTGATCTGACTTCTACCTCCACGTCAGTTGTGTACTAGAACGTCTCCTTGATTCACCTGTTTGTCTCGACTCTCAGCCCTTTTCTTCGTCTCGTTGTTTTTGACGCACAGAATCAGATGCAATAGAAGCCATGGGCAACAACATTGATGCCATCGATTTGACTCTCACCTCCTCGCCAGAGCCGGAGCCGGAGCCAGAGCCAGAGCGAAAGCCAGCTCAGCAGCAGCAACGATCGCGTGCCCAACATGACCTCAAGGCAGAGCCTCAGTCATACGATTTGGCGTCTACCCAAAAAAGCCAAATGAGTGATCTGCCGAGGCCTGCCGCCAATCGAAGCATTGATCCTCAACATCTTCGTCGGATTGTGCACACTAGCGATCAACACGCCTTACGCAAGGTAGTGCTTCACTTGTGCCACATTTCGCCTGCCTTGTCGGGTGCAGTAGCTCGCGGCCTTGCACCGCACTCGACATTCGCCAAACAGGTCGTCAGCGACCGGCGGCACATGGAGGCAACGACTTATCAATCCGAGGATGAGAGTAACGATAGTGCTTACGAACGCACCAAAAAAAGATTGGCCGCTCACATAACCAACCCAAGGAGTGCATCGCGGCCACTCACAAAGTGTATGGAAATTGAACCAACACGCGGTGAATTTCAAATAGCCACTTCCCCGTGTAGCGTGCCGAGAGTGAAGAGCGAGTCTCGACCCATCCTCGGTTCATCCAGCACTGACAGTAGCAAGAAGCAGCTTTCTGTACCCTATCCACCTAGCGCAGCCCAGGGGGCATCTATTTCGGGATCTGTGCAGAGCAATCCAGAAGCATGTGTCAACGTCAATCGCGGCCCAACCGCCTCACTGGCTTCAGCGCGACTGTTTCGTACGCCACGCGATATCCCTAGGAGGAGCACATGCGTCAACTGTCGCATGTGGTTCACTTCTGGCTCTGACGAAGTCTGTATGTTTCATTCAGGACATAGGGTTCGTCGGGATGGCCAAGGCATCTACAGTTGCTGTGATGCACCTCTCACCGATCCCGGGTGTCAGTTTAGACGTCATGTTTCCTCAGATGGAGCCGATCGAGACGGCAATGATCGCAAGCGACCGAGCAGGTCGCCACACCCGGCTGGTATGGACCGCGTAAAGATCAGAAAGCTGCCCTGGTTAAACTGAATGGTAGCCATCATTCACTCGCAGCCACGAGTGACAAACTCGGATTTGGTTTCCATACTGGACTCTTCTTCTGCTCATACTAGACCGGACTTTGCTCTTCTTAATATGCAATCCATAACTATAGCTGGCAATCCGGGTTGCTCGGCCTCAGACTTATGCGGTCAGCGGATGTTCTCTCGCTACTGAACCCCCTTTCGAAGCGCCTCAAGGGAGAAACGGTCCTTCGATACCGTGTCATCCTCGATCCTTAATCCCAACCGTCCAGTGTTACTTTCAAGATTAGCGTTCTGCTGGTCTTTCGCTTTGCGATCAGAAACACTCTTCTCATTCTGCACATTTCTATAATACCCAAGCCGAAATAAGCGTCATTGGGACAGCCATGTTGCGCTGTGTTCGGTCTTTGGCATATATATGGTCTTTGCGATAGAAAGGTGGAGAGGGCTCGCTGCACCCCACAGGCAAGTTGGCACAGGAAGGATTTGCATCCCTGCTATGGCCTGGAAACGTCCTTTGTGCTATCCATATCAACATGTCCTCTCTTCCTTGACCTTCCACGTATCATCGGAATACGATTTTCCCTCATCATTCAAAGGTCATACGTCCCGACCAACACTTGCTGACTAGTGCAAGCTCAAAGGTTTTTACTTCATTTTTGACTACCTTAGAACGTAAAAGACTGTCCCAGGTGTCTTCAAAACATTTATAGTAGCATGTTGCCAGCATCTCCCATGCATAATCACCGCGCAATCTACCCGCCAAGGTCAACGAAGTGGGCGGTTGCCCAATTCCAAGATAACCTTGTTAGTGCGCAAACCTTTCCGGCACAAACCTAACCTATAGTTATTAAGTTTAATAGGGCAGATCCTAGCGTTCGGCGGGATTACGTGATGAAAAAAACCTTGTTTACCTCTCTCCACGGTTTGGCCTGCGCGCACATACTAGAGCAAGCAAGGCCGCCCGATCTCAGTACCGGTACGGCTTCCCTTCATCTCAACCCCTATTTGAGCTTTACTGATACCGGGAAGGTCGAAGCAACGGCGCACACTTCCGCCTAAAATGTCACTCGATCTGTGGTAGTGGTGAGCTTATTGTATAACACAACCATCGTCGCAACTACTAAAAGGAGGAACCAACAGAGCCCACTTCATACTGCAATATTCGCCACAGCCAGGAGTGTTCCTGGAGCTAACGCCTGGATCATATTTTCTACGTGTCGTGCAATCATCAAGATCGGCCGGGCTGTATTAGAATCACGACGTCTTTTGTGGAATTGGTACCCGGAGGCCTGAGATGTACTTACAAGCCCTTGACTGGACCGGCGCTCACTGACACACACATTGTATTGAGACAGCAGCTCGTGAACATCTACACTGCCCAACCCTACAGAGGACATGCCTACTTCCGGACAATGCCTTGGCAAAACTCTTTACAGTCGAAATGATCCTTGACCTTCCAGACGAGCAAACGGGCGGCGCCTGTAGACCACACTATTTATCGACACGATCAACAATATCGCCATTGCATTAGAGAAGCTCATTAATATAAATCGTAGCGACTGCCTGTATTGTGCATGGACGCTCCGCAAAACTCCTACAAGCAGGATACGGAAAACGCTATCTTGCAAAAGCCCATGAGGTACCGGTACGGCTTGCCGAGGAGCGTAGTTTGTCCACGCGAGTTTGGGCAGATGATCAGTGAGACAAACCTGGCACTGTTTGACTGCTTCGTCGAAGGGATTGCGACAGGGCTTGCAAGCTGTATCAGATATACACACTCGAATATCACCGACTGCGGAGACAGCAGCGTCATTCAGCCACCCATGAGAGTATCATACTGTAACTCCATGGGCCACAGTTGGAATTATTGCGCCTCCCAGATAAAACCACATGGTCATGGATCCGCTCGTCAACCTAGCAAGGCAATTGCCATGTCTGGAAGGTCAAGACACGAAGTTATCGCGATGGACAAACCATCGACAAAGCAAGCATTGCGCCTCGGGCAATGAAACACCGAGCATCAGGCGCATGATCGTGAACCCCACGCTATAACTCATGTTCATAAGATCTACAAGAATGTTTTCCTAAAGTTCCTGCCTGCGCGAACACGCTTCATACAAACACGGCATGATGATTGGAGGACTCGACCCCGGATTCTTTCCGCCCGTCGATCAAACATCTGGGGTAGATTAAAAGGAACAAAATCTCCGTCTACATGCGACCAACGTCAACATGGAAAACGTCACGCAATTTGCTCACGCCGCTGTGTACCATATAGAAGCTTTAGGCTATTGTGGAGCGCATGATGTTGGACTTTGGTAGCAAGGGGGTTTCTTCTTTCTTCACTCCTCGCACGCAACCCGCTACTGCTTCCCTTGCCCTACGGTTGAACTTCTTGTCACGGAAGTATGCATTTCCTGTACTACTTTCCCCTGATCGCCAGCACCGTCACCGCACTTGCGTTCCCCGGCGCAGAAGGCTTCGGGCGTAATGCGATTGGAGGTCGCAACGGCAAAGTCTACGTCGTCAACAACTTGAACGATAGCGGGGAAGGCTCTCTCCGAGATGCAGTCTCGCAACCCGACCGCATCGTCGTCTTCTCCGTTGGCGGCACTATCAAGATCAAAGAGCGTATTGTGGTCTCCAAGCGCATCAGCATCCTCGGCCAGACGGCACCAGGAAATGGCATCACAGTCTACGGCAACGGCTGGTCGTTTTCCAACGCCGACGATGCCATTGTACGCTACATTCGCATCCGCATGGGCAAAGGCGGTACGAGTGGTAAGGATGGGGTGGGCATCGCAGAAGGCTCCAACATGATCTTCGACCACATCTCCGTCTCCTGGGGCCGCGACGAGACCTTCAGCATCAGCGGGAGCGAAGTCGGCAACATCACCATCCAAAACAGCATCATTGCCCAGGGTCTGGAGACGCACTCCTGCGGCGGCTTAATCCAGACAAATCTCGGCAACGGCATCTCCCTGTTTCGAAACCTGTACATTGACAACAAGACGCGCAACCCAAAGGTCAAGGGCACAAACGACTTTACAAACAACGTCGTGTACAATTGGGGCGGTGGCGGCGGATACATAGCTGGAGACTCGAGCGCAGTGTCCGAAGCCAACATTGTGGGGAATTACTTCATCTCTGGGCCCAGCACCACCATCACCGCGTTTACACGAGGCAACGCCAACTTCAAAGGCTACGTCGACGCCAACTTCTACGACTCGGACAAGGACGGCGCTCTGAATGGCGCGGAGATCGGCGTTGCGTCTTCCAACTACGGGGGCTTGAATATTCAAAGCAGCAAGTTTGCCTTTCCCGGTCCGGCCAAGACTCTTGCGCCTGCAGATGCGTTGAAGCTTGTGGAGACGTCGGCGGGGGCGAGCAAGGTGCGGGATGCGGTGGACAAGCGGCTGATTGCTGAGCTGCAGAGTTATGGGAAAATGGGCCAGTTGATTAGCGATGAGAATGCGGCGCCGATGAATGGGCCTGGGACGATTGCTGGGGGCACGCCGTGGGTGGATGCGAATGGGAATGGAATTCCGGATGATGTGGAGTCGCAGTTTAGTAATGTGGAGGATTGGGCGAATAGTTTGGTGCCCAGTGGGTATTGAGGTCGTTTGGTCAGGGTTGGATGTATGATCATATCATAAGAATATGCAAGATTTTTGTGTCAGGAACATTCTATTGTGGGTTGGTTGTGTATTGAGAATTTTCGATAACTACAAGATCTAAATCTTCTCCCCCTCCAAAATCGGTCTCGCCTCCTCACTCCTCCACCAACTCCCCTCTCCACCCGGATAACTAAACCTCTCCATACTCTCCGGCTTCATCTCGACACTATACCCCGGATCCATCGGGGTAACATAATACCCATTCTCAATCTTACTCGGGTGGAAAAAGTGCTCATGCAAATGATCGACATACTCGAGCACACTCTTCTTGCCGCTGACCACCACATAGTCAATCGTCGATAGATGCTGGGTGTACTCTGGGAGTCCGACGCCGCCCGAGTGGGGCACAATGGGAATGTCGAATTTGGCAGCCATGAGGAGGACGGCGATGACTTCGTTGACGCCGCCGAGTCGGCAGGCATCGATTTGGCAGATGTCGATTGCGCCCGAGGCTAGGAATTGCTTGAACATGACGCGGTTTTGGCACATTTCGCCCGTGGCGACGCCGATGCCGTAGGGTTTTAGGGCTTCGCGGATGGCTTTGTGGCCGAGGACTGTGGGATGGGTTAGTAGGTTTGTTCTTTGAGGGGCATGGTTTTCTTCTCTTGGGGGAGGGGGGGAGTAGGGGGGTTGAATGTACCGTCATCGGGTGAGGTAGGCTCCTCGATGAACCAGGGCTTGAATTCCTGTAGCTGCTTCATGTATTCGATAGCCTCGGGGACACTCCAGACTTGGTTGGCATCTACCATGAGCACGTTGCCCTTGTCAAATCCAATGATTTCTCTCGCGACGCTTAGTCTCTGCTTGTCTTGAGCAACGTCGCTGCCAACCTTGAGCTTGAAGTGCCTGTATCCCTTGGCCAGCGTCTCCTTGAGCAGACCACGCATCTTGTCTTCTCCATATCCAAGCCAGCCGGCTGACGTGGTGTATGCGGGCACAGCCTGCGAGCTTAGAGCTTCCTGTAGACGTTCCTTCTTTCCCTGCTCACTCTTTGTCAAAATCTCCAACGCCTCTTCTGGCGTAAGCGCATCTGTGATGTAGCGGAAGTCGATCAAGTCGACAATCTGCTGTGGTGTCATGTCGGCCACGATCCTCCACACTGGCTTTCCCAGTGTTTTGGCCCACAGATCCCAAATGGCGTTGACGACGGCACCGAGGGCAAGGTGGATGACGCCCTTTTCAGGTCCAATCCAGCGCAGTTGCGAGTCGTTGACGAGATGGCGCCATGTCTTGCCCCAGTTCTCGACCAACGATTCCAGCGTGCGACCCTTGATACGATCTGCAAGGTGTGCAATGGCGGTGCAGACGATTTCGTTGCCACGGCCAATTGTGAAGGTCTATCGGGGATTAGAGAGAGCGAGGGCAAGAGAAGAAACGGAATGGAGTGGACTTACCATTCCATGTCCCTTGAACTCAGAGTCGGTATGTAGAATGCAGTATGCAGACGAGTAATCCCCCGCCGCATTCATCGCATCGGAACCAGTCTTGTCGAGGGAAGTCTAGTCCAACATGTTAGCATTTGCCAAACCACTTGTCCCTCTGCCACCACCAGATGGCCCCAAACTCCCCCAATTGGTAATCCCACTTACAGGGAACCGCACATCCCTCGTATCAACACCCGTAATCGTAACCATCTTGTCCCGTTTCACAGACTGGAACCAGAACACCGTCCCTGTCGTGCAACCCAAGATGCTCAAGAGGCCACCGATTGAGGCTCTGCGGGGTACGGTAGGTACGGCAAGGCAAGGGCCAGGCAAACACCACGTTGATTCCGAATGAAGCACGAGAACCTCGCACTAGACTGTCCCTGATTCCGAATTCCGAGAAATCGATAACCAAGCCAGAAGGCAAGTGGAAAGATGGCACAGTAAAAGGACCTATGCTCTCTCTCTCGAACAAAAGGACCTCCAAGGAGAAGAAGAAAAAAAAAATCTCCCCCAAAACCCCGACAAGTCCAGACCATCATATATACCTGTACCAAACCCAACCCCTCCCCCCCCCCTCCCCCACTCTACTCCTCTCTAACAAGCCTTTCGACCCGCACAGCACTCAACACCCTTCCTCGCTCCCGTATATCCCCCATCCCAACCCATCCCAACACCCACGACATCCAACCCAAACGGCCCTCCCACCCCGCACTAACCCAGCCCACGCCTCTAATTCGTGGGAAATTTGCGCTCCCGGGAGAATGAAGCCCCCGCCTCCCCCTATCGTGCTCGTACGCGCCACGACGTGCGGCTGAACAAGCGTCGGCTGTCTTTGTTTTCTTTTCCACCGAATGCAGGCATGCAGGCATGGGGAAGTGGCTTGCACGTTGGGGCGGCAGTGGGCTACCTACATTCCCGTGTTGCGGAGGCGTGTGTGGCGGAAGGCTTCGCGGTGTTGGCGAGAAGGCTTGGGTTGGACTACAGGTTAGTGATGCGGCGTGTCTGTCTGTGATGGCATCTGCGCGTGTGTGCAGCGTGAGGGAAAGATGGTAACGAGGAGAAGAAAGAGGAGTAGGTACAGAGAGAGGCGAGTTCGCCGAGTGAGAGAAAGGGGATATAGGGGATATACATGGATCCTCGTCCAGTCTGAGTTGCAGTGCTGAGATACAACAGCTGGGACTCCAGTTGAGTTCTATACTCCTCGTGATTATCCGGCTACAGGTGCTAAGACTTCCGCTTTCGGTTCAGCGACTAGCTATTGCCGCTGGCTACTGTCGCTGCTGTGGTATGTGTATATCTATCGTGGGCCATACCTGAGCCTGGAAGAGGAAGAGACAACCCCAAAATCGTACATGTGAATTCAAACATATTCACCGTTTTGCCACATGAATTCTACAGCGCATGCGTACCCTCTCTCACTCGCTCACTCACTCTCTCTCCCTCTCATTTAATACCCCTCTTCTCCGTCTCGCTGTAATAAATAACCATCCGCCACAACTTCTTCACCAAATTTTCCGCCTCATCATCGAGGAGCTGTAATACCAAATATTAGCAACACGCCACCAAATATGTAAACTCAACGTAGAAAGGGTTAACCAAAAAGAAGGGGGAAAACTACTCACCTCTGCCAAATTCTCCACCAACGGCTGCGGACCCCCTCTACTCTTGAGATGATCCACTATCGCATCCACGAGCATATCCTCCTGCAGGCCCATGAGCTCGAGCACCTTGTTCGCCGCCCACTCCTTGATATCCTTGTCGATATTCTTCTCCGGCAAATGATCCCACGATACCGGCCACTTCCACAACCCTTCCTTGTCGTTTGGAATATCGCGAGCGAGCTGGCGCTGCGCCTCTTCGACCTCTTCCTGCGTGAGATTGGCGCGCACAGCGGCGTCGAAGTTGATCGGGACGAGCGTCCGCTTCTTGGTGCCGGACTGGTCGGTAATCTCTTCGTCTTCGAGCAGGTTTTCCACGTCCGTGGCCGTCCGGCGCGGGGCAGCCGTCTTTTCCAGTTTCTTGGTGGCCGCACCGAGCGAGATTTTGAAGTGGGCTGGCTCGTGCCGTTCTTGCGTCCGCAGCATTTCTTCGGCTTGTTGGTCGAGGAAGGCATCGGCTTGGCCACGGGCATGGTCTCTTTGCTTCTGCTGGGATGCCAATTCGCGCTGCTCTTGGGCTCGGTCGATGGCGTCCTCCTTGGCCTCGCGCTCACGGACCTTTTCGCGTTCACGCATGTACTCGCTGTGGTCGCGGTAGTATAGGTGTCGTTTTGCAAGGGCTTCTTGGTCATCGTCAAATTCCCTGAGTTGCTTGGCCTGTGCCTCACGTGCTGCTTGTAGCTCAGCCTCCTGGTTCTTCATTCGATCGTTGGTGCGCTCGAGCGATGACACTGTACGGCTTTCGTGCTTGAGCCATCGCGCAAGCTGCTTTTTGTAGGCTTCTTCCTGCTCTTCGTCTCGTTTCTTCTTCCGGCGTCGCTCAAGCTCAGAATCGCTTGCAGAGTCGTCGTCGTCCTCCAAGGGTTGGGGCTGTGCGCGGATCTTGCCATCGGGTAATC